AAGAGGGCGTGAATTCAAAAACCTTTCGATTTGCATCACAATTGTTAAAAACTCTTCTATACTTAAATCAGTATTTCCCACGACGCGTTTCAAATGGTATTTGAATGACTTTACGCCAGCCTCCTAAAGACTGCCAAAATTGGGAGCCTTGGGAGGAATGACCTTCAAGTCAACATTTTCGGAAGATAAATATCCTGCAAGAAGTTCATCAGGAGAATTCACCATATTAAACAATCTCTTTAACACTTGTTGCCGCACCTACAAATGTTTGTGTGTTATCCGTAAAAAGTTTTCTAGATTTGCCTCTTCGAGGGAAAAAAAAAACCTTTCAAGACAAGAAATAAAAGTTTCTGTTGTTAGATCTGTTACGATTTCCAAATGAAATGCACGGGTTGCGAGGCAAACAAATACGGCAACATAAACTTTGTTAAATACACCCTTACGCTGGTTTTTGTGTTTCACAAGAAAGAGTCCACAAAAATCGTTTCCTGTATCATTAAATGCAAAATTTTCATTAAAACGCTCTGATGGCCAGATTTTCCATTAACTGAGAAGAAGTAGAAGGATTTGCCTTAAAACAAACAACGCACTGATGGCAAATCTTTCTGCAAATATTTCTCCCATTTATGGGCCAGTATTTTTCTCTCACATAATATAATAAAGTTTGCGATCCCACATGAAAGCATTTTTTGTGAAAATACATTACAATTAAATCTGCTAAACGATTTTTTGGTGGAAGCACCACAGGATGTTTTTTACAGAACTCAAGAGTAGAATTTTGGAGGCAACCACCAACTCTAATAATAAAATTTTGATCAATAAAAGGGGTAAATCTTTTAGCTTACTATTGGGGGCTCCTATTTCACCCTTAGATAAACTTTTCAGCTCTGCTGAAAATTTTTAAGATTGTACCTTTCTGATTAAGAAAATCTCTGCTTGCTGTATTTCAGCAGCGGTTACATATCCTGACCTTTTGATATTCGAGTGTCTTGCATTATAGATGAACTTGAAAAGAAAACTTTAAACACGTAAAATATGCATAAAATCATTACTTAAGTCAAAAATACGATTTAAAAAGTTATACTATAAAAAGTCCTTTGTTATACTAAAACGTTTCAAAGGGTGAATATTATCACAGTCTTTTTTTTTTTTTCAGTTCATTAAAGTACTCATCCTCAGTGGCACTAAGTTCTGGAGACTCAGGAATAATTTCCTTTAAGAGAAGGCAGGTCAAGTCCACCAAGTTGAGTTATTTTTAAGATAATCACTACTTGCACCACGCGTAAGTAAATCAGCTAGATTAGTCGTGCCTGGACAATGATGCCACGTAGCATCAGTTGTCAAGCTTTGTATCTCTTTCACACGGTTTGATACAAATTGATTCCACTTTTTGCTTGGACTTTGAATCCAGTATAAGGTGACCTTCGAATCCAAAAAAAAAACTTTTTGATATTTGTTTTTTGTCAATAATTGGATTCAGTTCACTAGCTAATCTTGCCGCAAGTAAGCTCAAGTCTTGGCAATGACAGCTTCTTTAACGGAGCCACTCTGTATTTTGAAGCTACAAGATTGATTAAGATTTCATTCTCAACCTTTAACTTAACGTAAACAACTGCTCCATAAGCCTTAATACTAGCATCCGAAATTGTATGAATTTCCAGTTTTGCATCTTAATCAGTAAGAGAACCAAGTATATATCTCGGAACCTTTAAGTTTCTAAGTTATGGAACTTCTTTACATTATTTCATTCACTTCTCGCTTATATCAGGAGGTAAAGCTTCATCCAAGTATTCGGGTGATATACTATATATATACAAGTATTCGGGTGATATTTCTTTGCCAGATCTCCTCGAACAGGCACTTGAAACGGATAGTAAAAGGAGTCACCAGACCCAGCGGGTCGAAGATTCTTCCAGCAGCCATTATTAGAAACCGTTTAGTGTTCCTTTTCTGTTGAAGAAATTCCAGCAAACTATGAATTTCTAAGGATAGATAATCACTACATGGATCCTACAAGAGACCAAGAACTCTGTGTAATTTATCCTTTAAATCTTCTGGACATAACTGCTTAAATCCCACAGCTTTCCACTCCTTTATTAACCTTTCAGAATTTGAAATCCACTTCCTTAATGGCATCTCAGCGTCTCTCATTATTTTTTCAGCACTTTTAGAAATTTCAAAGGAAGATGGAATGTCATCATTACCTGTGATAAGGTCATCTACATAAAAACAGATATCAAACGTTTGTACTGTAGCAGGAAAGTCCTTTCTGTACTTCTATATATGGTTTCTAATAGTTACTGCCAATAAAAAGAGACTTGCGTTTACTCCAAAAATTATCCTTTTGAATTTATATACACATACATTATTCATATGGTCGATAAAAAGAAATCTCACTGTGCATCTCTGTCTCTTTCACGTAAATAACTTGCAAGAAAGCCTTTCTCTATATCTGCCAAGAAGGTGATCTTGTTCAAGTGAAAAGAATGTCAATAAATGAAATATATTTGGGGTTTAAATTAACTCCTTGATATAAAGCAATCATTTAACAGATAATTGACCTGGTTCCATGCGAACTTCATCATCAAAAACAATCCTTACCTTAGTAGTTAATCTCTCTTGTCTTACAACTGCATGGTGGGGTAAGTAATATAGAGGTTTATTCACTTCCTCTACTGGGCTCATCACTTTCTCAATAATTCCCTCACTCAAATAATTATTCAAAATATTACGGTACTCTAAATACAGGGAATTATCACGTTTCATTTTCTTAATAAGGTCTGCAAGTCGATTTTTTGCAACATCATAATTGTCTTTAAGCTCCTTCCAGTTTCTCTTCCAAGGTAACCCAACCTCATATCGTCCGTCTTTAAAACATATTGTTTCATTTAACATTTCTAGGGCCTTATCTTCCTCATTTCTCAATTCAGTATCTTTAATACCAAGGGATTCTAACTCCAGAAGTTTGCTAATTGATTATCTAAATCTTCGAAATTGTTTACTAATCCACAATGATAACTGTTTTGTTTACTTAAATTCATAGACCCACTTACTACCCAACCAAACACTGTCTCTTGAAACACCATAAATTCCTCTTGTAATTTTATTTGATTTGGTTGTTTAAGCAGCAGGTAAAATATATCAGCTCCCAGAAGAGCATCAATCTTCGTTGGTCTATAAATATTTGGGTCAGCGTAATAAATACTTGTTGGAAAACAAATTTTCTTAACATCCAATTGTTTCGAAAGAGTAAGATCACTAATATTATCTACAATTAAAAACTCAACATTTCCTTTAAAGTCTCCATTCGAATTTTCCACTGACGTTACTACCTTACTTTTAACAGTTAAAATCGAATTATTCAAGCCAGTTAATAAGAGCATTTATTGTTTGTTTTTTTATTTGTAACATATCCGCGATTTCCTTTCAAATGAGGCTGACTTGACTGCCTACGTCAAGAATTGCTATAATGTTTATTAATTCTACATTTCCCATTCGAACCTTAATCACAGCAGTAGAGAAAAACGTGTAAGTTTTTCGACCTTGGAAAGGAAACCTTTGCTCTGGCGCCGAAAAGATTTATGTTCACATTCATAACTCGTTCCGACCAAATGACTGATTTATGGAGGGAGTTGCATTTTGGGTTTCGAAACTAATCGCGTTCGGATTTAATTCGCATGAAATGTTTATTTCACTAGCATTATTCGGGGCGAAAGATGCTTTTTGAGGAATGTATACTATGGGGTGAATTATTATTTCTTTTCTCAAAGTGAATCAGGGTGTTATGTTTTTCACCGCACTTAGCACATAAAAATTTTGAAGAACACTGTTTTACACTATGGTTTAAAAAGCAGTTAAAACACAATCTTTGCTTTTCTAGAAATTCAACCCTATCATTCACTGATATATCTTGAAATTTAGGACATTTATATATAATATGATTATCCAAACAGAAACTACACTTAGATGACTTGACATTACTTAACAACACAGTACCTTTAGAACAATGTTTTTGGTTCCTGTTCTTAGAAACTCTAGACGCTTCTTAGATTCTTGCATGATTTTTCAGAAATTTAGGAACATTATTTTTCTTACCAAACTCGCGTTCGAACCATAATTGTGTTGAAGCATCTAATTTTTATAACAAAACATACCCAAACATTGTATCAGCAACCTATCAATTTTGTGCTCTAAAGTTTCTAACGCTCTTGTACATTCAAAAGTAATGTCAACTAAATTCAGTAAAGCACTAGCAGATTCACTGTGAATAGGTGGAACCTGTGAACACTGTGAGGCCAGGGTACCTCCTTCTTTTTCTTTAGGCCTCCACTTCCACCACCCTGTTTTGTCTTCCAATGAAATAACGTAAGTAAAATTCTGAAGTATTCTTTTCTCAGTAAGAGTTTATTTCTTAATTATATTATTGTGATCATAATTTACTTGACATTCGTATCTTTCATTCGAAAATTTTAATAGTGCAAGGAAGGTATGGCAAGAACATGGGGCTGTTGAGATTTCGTAGTAACTGCTTTGAATGCTCTGCCCTGTGTAGTATCAAGAGCATGAGGCTGTTGAGATTTCGTTGGGATTACTTTGAATACTCTGCACTATGCAGAAATAATACTTCTACAATTCACAATTTCGTATGAAAGCTCAGCATCCGAAAAACAGGTTCGATGCATATGCTGTTCGTGTTTTACCCTATATGTAATGTAGCGTATGTAGCATAATAGTCATGCTTACTTGACTAGCCAGTGGCTTCACTAAGAATCAAAATCACGTGGAGCTGTATGTGATTGTCTTAGAGAGGAATACATTTAGATACTCCTTAGAGAGGATGTCTTATGACACAATTTTCTTTTATATCTAGTTCCCTTTAGTGATAACTACAGCATGATACTGATCGTTTCATAACACATTTTGAGATGGTCTTTTATATTTAATTTAAATAAAATAAGTGCTTAAAAGATTTTGCATAAACATGAATGTTTTTTTTTCAGATGTTCCTGAAACCACTCCGAATAATGTATCCAGTTTGGATTGTTTATCTCTAATTGTCCAAAGTATCAATCCCTCCACAAGTTCTCTCCTATCTGCAATCACCATGGATGTTGATTCTCCTGATGCTGAGTCATGACTGCTTCATTTTGGATAGCTAAGCACCACAACAGCGCAAGAGATATAACTGTTAATTTTATAACATGAATACGCATTGAACGTTTTGAAGAATTTATTGAAAGCATATACAGTTAACATGAAATATTAAAAGTATACGTTTGTTTTATTACCCTTTTTCGAAGAGAAATTTTTTTTTCTTCCTTAAAGAAAAATTATAATTAAGTTTTTTGTATAATTTCCCGCTTTGAGATCTAGGTTCTTTTTTGCATTAAGCTGAGAAAAGAAATAAATCTTAATAAGGAGTTTGAGAAAATATTAATTAGCTCTTTAAATAGAATTAAGTTTAGCGCTAAAGTGATTTTTTTCATTTAGAAAATTTTAAAAATATTACTAAAGTATTTTTACTTCAACATCCATATTTAGAATGTCACACTCTTCACAAAAAAAAAAAAAAAAAAAAAAAAAAAAAAAAAAAAAAAAAAAATTTCTCGCTCTACTGGCCGACTGAAGAAATTTAACTAACTTTTCTGAAATGAAATGATAATTTTTTTTTAATATTTAGATTTTACGACTCAAATTATGCCAAAGTATCAAGTTTTGTAAAAATCGCACGAGTAGTTTTTAAAAAATTAGATCTCAAAATTTTAGCTCCTCAGTATTAATTGAATTTGGTGTATATTTATTAATATCTCTTTTTTATTAAACTTACTTGATTCCTTCTTTCATAGTTCAAAATTTAGGTTCTATACAGATAAAATACGCTGATATTTTCTGATTTGTTTCTAGGATTTGTATTTTTTAGTAATTTTTATAAGGTTTTTTCGAAAAAAACTTTTTGAATCATAACCTATAAAACTTTTACCATCACCTTAAAATAGATTCATTTCTAGGCGCACCTGCAAAAAATTAGAGTTCTTTTATTCAAAATTTCCCAAGATACACGTGAATTTATATATTGGCGCGTTTTGAAATTTTCTATATTTATTATAAGCGATAATAACGCCAAATGTAATTTAACCACATTTTTTTAATTATTTGAATGAATTAACGTTGTGCTTTTTTTTTTTTTTTTTTTTTTTTTTTTTTTTTTTTTTTTTTTCTAGCCATGCATAGTGAAAGAAAAAGGAAAATAGGTTACCATAAATTAAGAATTTCGCCAAGTGAATTATCCTTGGCAAAAACTGAAAAAAGTGCGTTAAGAAAATTTTTAAATTTCTCGTTACGTTTCTCACCAAATTTTACAAAATTTAATATTCAGGCATAATTTGAATCGTAGAATCGAAATATGAAAAAAATCGCTATGCCATTTCAGAAAAAGTCAAATTTTGTGCCGAAATATCTATATTAGAACAGTGCTACATAGAAATCTAATGCATATCATTTCGAAACATGAAAAACGCGAAATTAAGTTTCGTCACTTGGCCCAATAGAACGGAAGAGTATCCGTTCCCCCTCCCTTTTTTATGTGGAATATGCGTTTCCTTTGAGTGATACTACCGGAAAAAATTGATGAAAGTTTTGTAAATATTGTATTTTATCTATTACAGTCATAACTTGTTTAAAAGAGAAAGCAATAATAGGAGAAAAAATGATAAGAAAGTAATACTTAACATTACACAATCTGCTTTGCTTTCTTAGAACAGCATGCACTCTAAAAACATGAAAATGATTGATATACTATTTTTACAACTATCAAATGTTTGTAATTAAAAGACAACTCAAGTTTTAAATTGAAATTCAAAATGCAAGAACAATTTCTTGTCAAATGATTGTTAGACTATTCAGAATTGTATGCTTATTGTATTCTAAGAAATATTGCTTATACTTATATAAATGTTTTTTTAAAACTATTGATGTATATCAGAATATAACTTTTTATATCTGGACTATTTTTGCGCGCATATGGTATACAAATATGCGTATGTAAAATCTGAAACAAAAATTTTATATATCTTATAATGCTTTGTAAAAATATGTGCTATAGTTCTAAGAAGCTCGACTGAATACTCATTTGGTACGTATGTTTTGGTTTTTAGTACATACCCTTCCTTATACAGGAATAAAATTTAATATACACAAAATTATCTATGCTCCAAAATTTAATTTGCCTACAAACTGAAACTTTTCAAAGCTTGTATGCGCTAAAACGGTTGAAAATTTTGCAAAGCTATGAAATTGGAAACTTTCTAACGTAGTCAATACCAAATTAGATTTAACAAAAATCTATTACAATCTTTAACTGTTTCAATGTTTTATATATATATATATATATTTCATGTAGCACTTTTAATTACATTTTTAAAGAGATTATCATGTATTTTGGTATATATAATTCGAAACTCTCTTATTCAAAACAAACCTGAAGTATTTAAACTAAAAGTTGTTACCTGAAATAGCTATGGAATAATGTAAATTCAATAACGATCTAATACTATGAAATATAGATTTGTTAAAGACATTGCAATATAGTCTTGCTAACATATAAGTAAACTTTTTGTTATTGTAAGAATTCTTACGAATCACCATTTGTAAGCAAAAATATGCATATTAAAATTAAAAATATGACCTTATATTTCAATTAAATTAAAATATTTTATTATAATTAAACTAAAAAATTATTTCTTGTTTAAATTTCTTGTTTAAACGTATGTAGTTGTTTTAATATTCCCCATATGCGCATGAAGGATTACAAATAAGTTACTTGTATCCGTTTGCACCACATAATGCAGGAAATTGTTTTCAGATTGAAGAATTTTTACTGTGAATGTTTTAAGAAGATCTATATTTTTCTATACTTTAAATATTATTTTTAAATTAATAAAATGCTGCATTTTTATGACAATGAAATTTCATGTAATTAAGTTTTTGGAATTTTCTTAAAAAAAAACTGTGGGGTAATATATACATAATGCTTTTAAATTTAAATGAATTTTCTAAATAAAGGACAGTATTTTTATAAATATGAGCACATAAATTTAAAGTGCAGTTTCATATTTTAATCGGAATGAAGTAATTGTAGTCTTAATAATATGCTGTTATAAATGCAAGTGTTTATTGCATTAAAAAGTTATATTTTATAAATATATTTTCAGAACATTGTGCAATATAGATTTTTTTATATTATTCTTCATGTTACCAAAGGTGTGTAAAATAAGGTTCTTTGTGCAATATAAAAATACTTATAAATTTGTATATACTTTACTCTTTTAATGAAAAGTAATTTTTATGTATATTAATGCGAACTCCGCTACTACATACAGTGAGATGCTTCTGAATTTTCTGTTAACATACTTAAATTCATAAGTTAAAAATCAGCAAATATTAATGAATCAGCAACTAAGAAAGAGTTTCGGAATTAGCTGATTGAAAACATGTCTTGCATTTTAAAAAAATGAGTACTAGTACTTGAGTGAGTGCAATTAAGTCAAAATTCTTTGTGCAATCCAAAGAATTTTATATATTTGTAAATATACTTTTCTGTGAAAATAAATTTTATTTTAATATTAGTGATAAATTATGACATCAGCAACCAAAAAAGGAGTCAATTTTCATTAATTACGGAGTCCAGATCATGTGCTAAAAAGTGTAAATATTGATTTATGAATCGAAGAAACTGTTTGTACAGTTTCGCAGCATAAATATCGCCTACTTTGGAAGAAATTAGTGCCAAAGACTGAGGATAATATCTTCCAGTTTTGAATTTCTTGTTTAATTGTTTGTCAAATAATTAGTATGTATTTAAAGAGTCCTTATATTTAGCAGCGGAAACTTTTAAGATATTACACCAAGTGCCTTAAAATCGTGCTAAATTTTCATTGTAATTTAGCATTCTCTGTAAGCATTTTTTCTTCATGCAAGAATTCTTAACTTACTACGGTTGTTAATTTCTTTTGATAAGTTTTGTATATATTGCTTGTATTATTGTGAAAATTTCGTCCACTGTTTCATAATATCCAAAACAATTATTTGCGTGAATGATACGAATGCATTGCATATGTAATTACAGCATCAACAACTGTATAATGTGTACTTACAGCATCAATAACTGTATGATGTGTACTTACAGCATCAATAACTGTATGGTGTGTACTTACAGCATCAATAACTGTATGATGTGTACTTACAGCATTGAAGACATATTTTGTTTCATTAAAAGATTATACCTGAAATGTGATCTCTTGTTTCATTCTTAATTATAAATTAATATTTTAATTTTTTATTGAATATAAAACTTTATTATTCAATATATTTTAATTAACTTGAAATTAAATTATTGATCAAAATTTGAGAGTAAGATATTTAAAAATTTTCATATCTAGTATACCAATTTTTTAGTTTAAAGGTTGATCGTAAAGAAAGAAACTTATGATTCATAACAGAAAAATTTTAGATAAATTAATACGATAGTATTAAATTCATAGTTTGTAGCTATTATAGCGAAAAAAATCAGTTCATGTTAAAAAATAGGTATTTGAAAAATCGAAATTCATTTCAACTTAATAATAATAAATTTTTTATCAATAATTTTTATATCCAGCAAAATATAATAAGGTATAAATCTAATGCATTCAGCTTTGCTTTCAAGTAATAATGACATAGTTTTCTCAAATTTTTGTGTAATTATCAGTTAAATTCATTGTTCATAAATTATCAATTCATTCATGACTGTATTTTGACTATGCTTTTTTGTTGTTAAGTTTTATTATTAACGCATTAAATTATCTTATAGGTGTAGATATGATTTGCAGATCGTTAAGCAATAAAACTAGTTAGCTCATCGAAAATTTTAAAAGAGATCGGTGATGAAACTGTGGCAAATTAGCACTCTAATAGGTTCTGTTATGCTCCACTAAGAAGAGAAAACGTGATAACCCACTCTATATTTATACCATTACATATTAGGTAATTTTAACATAAAATTACGATATGTAATAACGCATAGAGTAAAGGGGGATATACATTCAGAACCCGTTACTACGTTGAACCCGACTTATAACGAACCCTCAGATGTAATGAAAGAAAGCTTTGGTCCCATCCAGTTTCTGCGAACTTAACGTTATTTTATACAGCTATAGCGAACTTCCAAGAGTATGAGAATCGGATGTAATGAATTTCATTGATAATTTCGATCGAAATGTTTTTACATTTTTCTTTTTTTTTTTTTTTTTTTTTTTTTTTTTTTTTAGAAATTCTGTAAGTTTTAATGAAAAAAATTACTGACGATTAAAATCATCTACATTTAGGATATTAGGATCCACATTTCATTCTTAAAGAAAAAAATCTGTAGGCTGCTTTTGTTTTAACTTCATCCCAATTTTCTCTGTGTTCTAAACAAAGGCTATGTGAGACAGGTGTGACACACAACTTTAGGAGAACAAGCATACACTAAGCGTATCTCAGCGCACTATACCTGAGCTCAGAGCACCATACTTAAGAGAAGAAGGCGTGAACATGTTCTCTGAGTCCATTAAAATTCTTTCAGTG